TTTTTAAAACAACGTCCTGCCTTCCCTGCCACTAGATGAGTTTTCCTGCAAGCAGATGTTGCACCAGATGTGGACGTGGACCCTTGTTTTTATAGGGGTTTGATACATGTAAGTGCACAATCCATGCTGCCCAAGACAGCACTCCTAAGTCATGTCAGTGCAGGCCCCTGGGGAAAGCTGCCAGGGTGGGAGTGCAGGCAGCTCAGGAACGCCACGTGCAGCCGGCTGGTGCCTCTTGGCTGGTGTATGTCTGGTGGGAAGCTGAGGGCACCACACTGCAGGGTGTGCTCGTGGGCCCTTGGTCCCAGGCAGCCAAAACTGCTGAGGTGGGGGGGAAGCAATGCCCAGCACCTCCTCTCTGAAGTGCCTAAGACATTTGAAAGCCTAAGATCGCGTAAGGAAAACCTCAAATACTCTCTGGCTTTCATGGCCTGAAACTACTGATGTGAGGGGATTCTGCTCTGACAGGAACCTCAAACCATGGGCTTGCCCTGACAAATCCAGCAGCTGTTTGGGAACTTGCCCCAGGGCTGTAAATAGTGGTGGGTTTGCAGTTAGAGGATGTGGTTATACTTCAGCTGGCTTCAGTGGTTCCCGAGGGCTGGCTGTGCCATCCTGCCATTGCAGTTTGCAGCGCTGGTACCACGGTGGCTGTGCAGCTGCCAGGGAAGGCACAGCCCGCTGTCACGCAGCAAGGTTTCAGTTTGTTTGCTCCTCACCACCTCAGTGATGATGCTCACCACTCTGGCTGCCACAGCGGCTGGGAGAGGGATAAAGGTCACAGCGCAGCAGGATGGAACTTCTGCCTGCTTTGCTGCTGAGGGAGCTGTGCTGTTGAGCCAGAACATGAGGCTGAAGGCAAATGGTTTAGTCTAGAAGATATAAGTCTGGCTGCACTTGATTTTAATTATTACCTGATTTTATACAAAATGGAACAACTTCAGCGGGGAGATTGAGATACGCCTTGCTACAGAGAGCCTCAAGCTGAAAAGGCAGGGACTTAACTGGGCAGATGAGGGAGGAACAGAGGCCAGAGATGCTGTAAACTAGGGGTAGAAGGAAGGAGCTGAATTGGGAGCTCACACACCATGGGCAGGTATCCTATTCCAGGTTTTTCTGGCTAGGTTAGATGTCTCCCTGCTAGCTTGTCCTCTCCTCAGCACGTGTTTAATGTGGCAGGTCAGACTCCTGAGGGCAGCCCCACACCAGTGCCCTGGCTGCCCCTTGCAGCACAGCCCACAGCCCGGGAAGATTTCCAGCTCATGCTGGACCCCAACCAGCCACAGGAATCAGTGGCCAGTGGTGCCAAGGCTGGTGGTTGTTAAGCAGGTTGTTAACCATGTCATCACCACATCGTGATGTGAAGTCTGAATTTTGACTCTTTGCTTGCAAAACAAAGCCTGTGCCAGAAGCCAGTGTTGCAACGTGGAGCACACTATGACATGGGGTCCTCAGCAGCCGGCAGACACCTGGTGAGCCATGGGAGTGTCTTGGAGCTATTGCTTCAGCACTGGTTCACATCCCCTGCTCCTATACCTCTTCCTCCTTCCCCTTTCCTGACCCCTGTTCCACTTGTTCTCCTTATTTCCATGTTAAGCATTTGCCCTATATTTTCAGCATCATGTATGACAGGAAAACAGATTGCTACGGTCGTATGTGAAGCCTCAGTTTATTTATTGCAGATGTGAGCCCATAGCTCTTTGAAAGCTGCATTAAGTGTAGTCCATCACCAGAATACAATATATTTGTTCTGGAGCAACAATCTCCACAGCACATTTTTATGCACACTGCTTTTCTGATTTGTGAAACACCTGCTCTAAAAATGTTCTTGCTATACAAGAACCTGTACCTCACATATGATCTGCAAAAGAGAGGAGAATTTAGTGTAAAGATAATTTTGCTCGTGGCAGAATGAAGGGGACCACAGCAGTTCGTTACCCAAAGGAAAAAAAAAAAGTGAGAATATCAGACCTAAGCTGTTTGGTAGATTGGCACAGATGAAGAGAAAGCAAGTGAAGAGCTGACAAAACAAATACAGAAGGCCCTGTACAAAACATCCACTGGTTTCAGCAGGGGTCCAAATGTTTTAGGTTTGGAAGCTCAGGAAATTCAGTCAAAACTACACTGTCGTGACAAAGTTGTCTTTCACATCTGAGAAAACTAGTGAGCCATTCCTCTACTATCTGCATGTGCTCCTGAGCTAGACAGTCAGGTCCTTTGGGTCACCTGGAAAAACTATGTTGAGTTCAATTAGAACAGACATCCTCAGGCAAAGTTTGGGAAAGGATCTGCTTTCTACCAGAGTACCACAGCTCTTAAAGATCATCCTGATGCCTATGGTCATGGCCAACACCCTTATTAATCTCCATCGATCCCAGGGTGAAAGCTGTTGGTGAAATGGGTCTTGACTCAGGGATGTGTTCCCTCCTGTACTTTTCTATGTAAGGTTTAGCCACCTCCCATACCTGCAAAACAAGAAAGTGAAATAGCAGAGTCAGAGACAAAGCAGAAGGTCAGGTAAGACATCAATGCACAAGTCTGGGAAAACCCTGTAGAAAAGTTATTGGCATGAAAGTGAGAATTACAGGCCCACGCAG